GGTCGATGACGCATCTGATTACACATCTGATTACACTCAAAAATGGTGGAAACACTGGTTTGCTAGATAGTAGCAAAGTTCCAAGAATGTTTAATGGAACTGGTTCAAGAACCAAAACTTATTTGGTGGAAAAGGGGCCAGACTGTTCTCTCGTCGTACTGCACTCTAGTGCCTGTCAACGTGTCATGCAAAGCCAGCCAGATTCAACCTCACTGCCTGATTGTGGTGCAGACTGAAGAGTCACAGTAAAAACCAAAAGATCAGTGATTTGATATTTGAGGGCTGGCTTTGCAAGGCTGTCACAACACATACACACCTCTCCAGTATACTTTTCTCATACGTATACACACTTTGATGCATGCTTTTCTCTACATACTGTATACATAGGTACTTATAGCTTAACTGTTGGGTGGTCTTCATTGCTTAGAGTGTAATAGTGAACTCTTTTTTTCTCACTTATTGCACTATGATAACTCTCTGGCAATATGTTACAGATACTTGTTAGTCATATGAACCAATAAAAGAAAACATTTTAAAAGACAAGGCAGCGACTGGAGCTTTGAATTCTTCCTTTTTTACTTTTAAAAATGAATGTCAGAAGTGATAATGGCTCATTAGGGGGGTTTCACATCGTTAAACACATTACACGCATAAAAAGTCACATATTACATGATCACATGCCACAGGTAGACAGGTTATAAGTTACGTTGTATTAAGAGGGATGTCATTACACTGTACAAAATACATGGATGAAACAACATTAAGGCTCAGCTAATCCAGGCTGACATGTTTTTATCCAGCTAAATTGGTTTTTGGAACACAGGGTTTTTTTAATTTATTTTTTTAATCTCAGATGAAGTTAATAATAACTAAATAAAGGCAACACGAGGAGTCGAAACCATGATCAGCACTCACGTTATTTGCTGAGTGCTGATCATGTGATTGTATTCGTAACTGGCTGGCTTGGCACTACTGTTAGTAGTTAGTCACTTTAAATCTCTTAAATGTATTATAAGTGCAGAGGAACCTTCCGGAATCTCTCATAGAGCACATTAAACTTGAGAGATTAAATAAATTTTATGTAGAGCATATGTTATTAATTAGTTAGCCAACTATTTCTTATTATTAATTAGTCATTTTTTAGACAAAATCTCCAAATTATCTGATTTCAGCCTCTCAATGTGAATATTTTCTGCTTTCTTTAGTCCTCTATGACAGTAAACTGAAAACCTCTGGGTTGTGGACAAAACAAGACATTAGAGGACGCCACCTTGAGCCTTGGCAAACAGTGATCGACAAGTTAGTAACATTATAGTGAATAGGTATTTTTCTCTTTATTTTGAAATTGGAATTTTAATAAAACACAATATCTTCAGTATTTTACATTTTTAATGCAGGGGTCTTCAACTACATTTATCCAAGGGCCAAAATGTTTCCAAGCAGACACTGTGGGGGCAGGAAATTCATTATTCTTTAATATTTTCACTTTCTTTCAAAAAAGTTGGCTGTTCCGTCTTTTCTTGAGGAAATATTACAAACTGAGCTGCTGTTAAAAAACAACATTGTCTTGTGCACATTTCAGATGAAGTGTCAAGCTAACCAACAAACACATTGCATTTCCTGTGACTGCTACTTCATAATAAAAGTCAACATTTCAACAAAGTTAATGCTTTTAATGTGAAGCTGCAGTGGTATGTTCAGTCTGCATTACCAGAAACTTAATACTGCATTTTTCAGGGAATGTTTACGAATACTGTAAATGTATAAATACTTTCATCAGTGGCAATTCTGTGAACTTGATGTGGCCTGCCAATTGAAGACACCTACTACATAATGAAAGGAGTGATTGATTTTGGCTAACTTTGCGTATACCGGGTTAAAAATTCCAGGTTGTGTCAAATGATGAAAATTGAAAAACTAACTGCAATATCTTCCACTCACTGAGCTCATGAACCTCTGAAATATTTGCGAGGCTCTATGAAAAATAAGACAAATGGTCAAACAGGGAGGATGTTTCTTAACCTCGTCTATTTACTTTTTCACAGCCAGCTATTATTTACCATAAAATAGTAGGTAAACACAGGGGTTACTAATATACTAATTAAGGTTCTATTCATTTGTGTAGCAGTCTTTCCAGTGAGCCAACAACAGCAACAACAAACACTGCAGTTCCTCTACACACCACCTTTGAGCTGGCTCCCAGCAGTGAGTCAATTCTTCATAAGCCCCACATCAAATGCCCAACTTTACGCAGAAATAAACTGTTACACACTAGTCTCTATAGTTAATTTACCTGTTCATGACAACTGTATGGGGGGGGGGGGGGGGGGGGGGATATAACTACTGGTTTAAATTAGTATAAAGCTTAAAGTTATGCATAAGTTAGATGTGTTTGTTGCTTTTGAGTGACAGCGTGAAGTGATGCCACAGGTGGCTTTATTCGAGTAAAAGACTTCATTCAGCCCGCTCAAGCAGTCCAGGTATTTGCCCATACTTGGATTAGCTGGTTCTGGCGGAGTCAGCACTGCCAAGATGGTGACAGCCAAGCCCCCACACTGAACTTCACAATGGCTCTTTTAGAAACCTCCGTAACAGGTAGACTAAGTCCAATTTATTAACTGTACTAAAAATTGGACAGAACCTTAATTCATTGCTGCTGGGAAAAAATTGCATCCTCAGACTGTACAATAGCCCCTGAGCTCCACTATCAGAGGTCAGCCCACCAACTGACCATCCACACCAAAAGAAATGCTATGTTGAACATGGTTCAGAAAGTGACCCAATCTTTTAAACTGCTTTTAGTCAGTGAAACCACACATCAGACTTTACAATTTAGGGACAGCTTACATACACAGCACCTTCGGTTCATTTGGAGATTAAAACTCAAGTGATTTTAAGTAGTAAGTAAAGGACAAAGTGGCTGGCAATGTCAATAACAGAAGATCACACTTTTGGAAAACCAGAATGAAAAATTTTTTATTATTTTGTTATCCAAATAAAGGAAAACATTTTAGAGCGAGGCAGTGTCCAGGTAATAGGAGAGGAAAAACAAGCCATCCACTATTATTCCTATTCAAACAATATTATTATTATCACTTATTCACTTCTCCTACTTTTAATAGCTCATATAATGTCTGATGAAGGGGACCAGTGATCACTACAGGTAAGGAAGCGAAAAATGTGAGGAGTGTGCAGG